CAGCTGGAAGTGCACTCCACTCAGGGGAGCCACGCAGGCGAGGGTCACCTTGTCGCCTGGGCTCAGGACCTGGGCGGACTCTCCATAGTGCATCAGTGCAGGTGGTGGTGGTGCAGCTGCAATGCAGGCAGCATTACTGGGCTGCCCCATCCCTGGGGCTGCCCTCTGCCCAGTCCCCAGACCTCTGCCCTCCAGGTGGCAGTCCCAGGAACACCCTTCCATTCTTTTTTTTTGAAACGGAGTTTCATTCTTGTGACCCAGGCTGGAGTGCAGTGGCGCCATCTCAGCTCACTGCAACTTCCGCCTCCTGGGTTCAATGGATTCTCTTGCCTCAGCCTCCCAAATAGCTGGGACTACAGGCACCTGCCACCACACCTGGCTAATTTTTCTATTTTTAGTAGAGACAGGGTTTCACCATGTTGGCCAGGCTGGTCTCAATCTCCTGACCTTGTGATCCACCGGCCTCAGCCTCCCAAAGAGCTGGGATTATAGGCATAAGCCATGGTACCCGGCCCACCCTTCCATTCTTTGGGCATCCTCTGCCCAAACTCCTTCACAACCATCAGACCCAGGCAACTGTGTGGCCAGCTTCCTGGACCTGGTCCTGGGCAGGGGCATTCAGCATGGAGGTCAGGGTCAATGTGGTCATGCCCCCTGTAACCCCCTCCCTAGCATCTCCCAGAGATGATTCCCACAGTCACCGAGCTCCTCAATGATCACAGTAGCGCTGGGCTCAGAGAGGGCGCCTGCCACATGGGTCCGGTAGCTGCAGCTATAGTTGCCAGCCCGGTGGACAGGAAAGGCGGCCTCCACACCCTCCTGGGCCTCAGGCATCTCCAGAAACTCATGGTCGCCTTCCCGCCTCAGCAGAAAAGTCACACCCCGAAGCCCGCCTCGGCACACTGCTGTTGTGTTCAGGCCGGGTGTGATCCAGGACACAGGCGTCATTGAGAGCCAGGGAGGAGGCAAGGACTCTGTGGGTGGGGTGGAGTTGAAGAGTGGTTCTGTATAACACGAGAGACAGGGGAAGCCCAGCAGAACCTGGGACCCATCCTCAAAAAATGTGAGGGAGACAGGGATGGAGGGCATTGCTGGGAAAAGGCAGCCAGGCACTGGTGGAAACAAGGCGTACAGCAAGAGAAAGGAGTGCGTGGGAGCTGTATGGCATGCTGGGCCTGCTGGGGACACAACCATTTATTCCTCACAACACTCTGGGGTTAGCACAGATATCACCCCATTCGACAGATGGGAAGATTGAGGCTCAGAGACATCAGGTGACTTGGAGGACGGGAGGCCCCCCTGTCAGCCACCTACTCACTGCCTCCTGGCCCCCAATTCATGCCCCAGCTTACTTGGCCCCGTCAGCTCCAGGAGCTTGCTCAGCTGGGTCCATCCTGTGAACAACCCTGAGCGGCAGCGGTAGCGGCCCCGGGTGTCACCCGTCAGCAGGAACTGGTGCTTGATGGCAGGTGAGTCAAGGTGCACGGGCTCCTGGGCCACCCCATTCTTGAACAGCTGGAAGTCTGGGGTCCCCAGGCGGGCCTGGCACGTCAGCATCACATTGGCTGAGGGTTTCAGCAGCGATTCGGACTCTGCCCACAGGCTGGGCTGGGTCTCATAAACTGCAAGGGGTGGCTGGGATCAGTTCAGGGCCACAGGGACAGGGCTCACCCACGGCCTGGGCCCACCATTCCCAGACCTCAGCCCTGCACTCACATGTGGCTGCTTCTGTCACTGGGCCCATGGGGAGACCTGCGGAGACAGCCCCTGTGAGTCTCCCGTTCCAGCCCCTTCCCGCCCCAGGGACCCAGACCCCAGGAGGCCTCACCCCAGAGCAAGAGAAAGGCCACCAGCATGGACATGATGGTCGTGCTCACTCCGGTGCAGTGAGTGTCTGGGGTGAGCGTCTGAAGCAATGAGGCCCCAAGGGAGGGTGGCAGGGGCAGCTCGGACACTGACCTCGTCCCGTGTTTGTCCTTCCCGGAAGGCGAGGGCAGGGCCCCCATGAGGTGAGGGCAAAGGGCTAACTTCTGAGGCCTCAGGATGCTCAGCAACAATTATGATCAATAGTCATGGATAATTAATAAACTAAATCAACAACGAGTCATAAAATGATGCTAAAATCACTTCATCCTCATTTCAGTGCTGGATCTTGTTCTAGAATGGGACCCTGAGCTCTCCCCACTCTGCCTGGAGCTGCTGAGGTCAAGGGGACAGTGCCAGGGCTGAAGCCCAGTAAGCCCCTCCCTGTCACACCAAACTGCATGTGTATTTGGGGATTAGCCCCAGCTCAGAGCCAGGCTCTCTGAATTCTTGAGAAATCTGAACATTTCCTGCCACCCCCCACCCCAGGGAAACGGCAGCAACCCTTTGAGGAAGATACACTGTCTATTCTTGCCGCAGGACTGGTTCTTCCTTTAAAAAGATTGTTTTCCCTGCAACCGAGGGGCCATGTGTCTGAGGACTGACCTGGGTCTGTAAACTGGGTATCACTTGTGAATCTTGCAGTTGCCTCATAAATGGAACCCCATTCTCTCCAGCCACCCCTTATCCCCCCAGAGTTCTAACTAGTCCGGCACGCTGCAAATGGACAAGTGTGAAATACACTCCCAAGAGATACTACTATGCTTCAAAATAACTGCAAGGTTTTCATTCATGTAATTGGCATAAACCTGGGGAACAAGGATGGCGACGGCATCTAAGGGTAATTGATCAAGGAGGATGGGACACAACAGTGGACTGGATCAAGTCTATCTACAGGTGACGACTTACGAACATTCAATTTAAGATGTAAGCTTGTGCAGCTTGAAAGATACTGAGTTTGTCTGACAGCTTGACTAAGACCTGGACTCAATGGTGGCCCAAATTCAATGAGGTTGAATTGCTAGAACTTCCTTGGTACAGGGAGAGTAGGAATTTTGGAGAAAGGAATCCAAAAGCTTAGGGATACAGGAAACGTTGAAGTGGGTTTAACGTATACATTTAGCATGTGCCAGATCACGTACACACACAGAGTACCAAGGAGGATATCTTTGTTACAAAAGCACTGGGAAATACATTAGTCAGTGGGGCACCCGTATCCCTGAAACTTGCTGCAGTGGCAGTCCTCTGAAGGGCAGTATGGCCCTTGGAGTTGCTGCCATTGAAACGGCCTCTCTGATTTTGGTGATGAAAGATGGACGTGACAGAGCTCAAATAACAGGGCCTACCTGCCAGAGATGAAACTTGGATTCATCATGATTGGCAGCAGGAACAAGGAGGTGATCAGAATGTTTTAACCCTCAGGGAAGCAAGGATTGCTTCTACTAGGGAGAAAGGCTCAGGATTACTTGGAAGGTTGAAGATTCTTTTTTTTTTTTTTTTTTGAGACGAAGTCTCGCTCTGTTGCCCAGGCTGGAGTACAGTGGCGCAGTCTCAGCTCACTGCAACCTCCGCCTTCTGGGTTCAAGCTATTCTCCTGCCTCAGCCTCCCAAGTAGCTGGGACTACAGGTGTGCAACACCACGCCCGGCTAATTTTTTGCATTTTTAGTAGAGACGGCGTTTCACTGTGTTAGCCAGGATGATCTCAATCTCCTGACCTTGTGATCCGCCTGCCTCGGCCTCCCAAAGTGCTGGGATTACAGGTGTGAGCCACTGCACCCAGCTGAGATTCTCTTTCAACAACTATTGATTTGGCAAATGCTTTCTTTCCATCAATATGCAAGGACCACCAAAACTATCTTCTTTCTGTTTGGCAAGGACAAAAGTACACCTTCACAGCTTGCCTCAGGACTAAATCTGCAACTTTTTTTTTTCTTAACTACCCAACCTTGTTATGCAACCCTTCCCTTCCCCTCCCTTCCCCTCTCTTTTCTTTTCTTTTCTTTTTTCTCTTCTTTTCTTTTCTGATGGAGTCTCACTCCGTCACCCAGGCTGGAGTGCAGTAGTGCGATCTTGGCTCACTGCAACTTCTGCCTCACGTATTCAAGCGATTCTCCTAACTCAGCCCCCCAAGTAGCTGGGATTATAGGCATGCACCACCACACTCAGCTAATTTTAGTATTTTTTAGTAGAAATGGGGTTTCACCACGTCGGGCAGGCTGGTCTCGAACTCCTGACCTCAGGTGGTCCACCTGCCTCGGCCTCCCAAAGTGCTGGGATTACAGGCATGAGCCACTGCGCCCAGACACAATTTTCTCATTCTGTCATAATCCCTGCATAGTTCTTGATCATTATGACTTCCCACAGAATATCATGCCCATCCACTATACGGACGACATCAGCTGCTTGGGTCACAAAGTGTCAGGTACCTTAGGCAACTAAGTTAAATACATGCTAAGGGTCCACCTTCTGGTAAAGTGCCTAGTGGTCTGCAGCCTGTTAGGACAGCCCCTTCTAAGACGACCAGTTGTTGCAATATGCACTATCTACCACTAGGAAAAGGGAACAACGGTTGGTGGGCTTCTGGATTTTGGATACAATGTATACACTCAAGTGTGCTTCTCCAGTCCACGTATCATCTACACTTTTTTGTGGGGCTCAGAACAAGAGAAGTCCATATGGCAGGTCCTGGATACAAAGCAAGCTGCCACCTGGGCCCTAGGACCCAGAAGATTCAACATGCCTACTGGATCTGGTGCAACCCAGAGTTTGTGGCACATAAGAATACTGAACTGAAGCCAGGCGTGGTGGCTCACACCTGTAATTCTAGCACTGTGGGAGGCCAAGGCAGGAGGAGTGCTTGAGGCCAGGAGTTCAAGACCAACCTAGCAAACACAGGGAGACCCCATCTCAAGAAAAAAAAGAGAGAGAGAAAGAGAAAATACTGTCTCTCCTGCACCCCCTCAAAGTTCCAGCAACCACCATGGTTTAGCCTTTAGAGACCCAAGCCCCCCTTCCCAGCTCCTAGGATCCGGTAAAGCCACCTGTCTGCATAGCACCCCCAGCTCGAGGTGGGCCACATCACAGACTCGAATCGCTGCACAGGTCCACGTGCAAGGGACTTTTTGCTCCCCAGTAGAGAAGAACCGGGTGGCGCCAACCGGAGGCCCGTGGATGTGATGATGCGTCCACAAGAAGCCAGCAGTGTGTCAAGCCGGACAGAGTTATCCTTTAAAACGAATCCCAGTCACCACGGTGGAGAGAACCGAGGCAGGACGGAGAAGTGGACAGAACTCCGCTCCTCTCCCCCGCCCTAGGCCTCCTGCTACCCTCAGGGTCCCCAGAGCCAGGCCTCTAAACCTCCTAGCCCTTGGCCGGAGACAGAAAACCCGTGTACAACTTCCGTTCTCGCTGGGGTGGAAGGAGGGAGGAGAGGGGACTCACACCCTGCCCTTGTTCCCTGCCGGAGCAATTTCACACAGTTCTCAGAGGAGACCACCACACCTGTCGGAGACCCCAGTTCTTGCCCACCTCTGCATGGACGAACCTCTCGCCGAAGTGGAGCTTACTACCTTCCCTGAGGTCAAAAGCCCATCCCACATGTCCCAGCCAGGTCTGGGTGGCCGGTGGGGCTATTGTCAAAGGGACTGTGCAGCCAGGGTTCCCCACGCCCAATGCCACCCCTGCACTCCCAGCAGGAGGGCGCCCGCACTGGTGGCCCGAAAAAGGCTGGGCACCCCGCAGTGCCGCGTGTCCGCGACCTCCCGCTCAGGCGCGTCCTCGGGTCAGGGCGCAGTGCGGCCCCCGTGCCGCTTCTGGTGCTCTTTGAGGTTGGAGCGGTGGCTGAAGGGCTTCCCGCACTCGCCGCAAGCGTAGGGCCTCTCGCCCGTGTGCGTACGCCGGTGGCTTACGAGCTCCGACTTGCGCACGAAGGCCTTGCTGCAGTGGGCGCAGACGAACGGCCTCTCGCCAGAGTGCAGGCGCTGGTGCTGGCGCAGCTCGGAGCTGCCGCGGAAGGCCTTGCCACATTCTGCGCAGGCGAACGGCCGCTCGCCCGTGTGCGTGAGCCGGTGGTGCGCCAGGCCCGAGCTGCCGCGGAAGGCCCTACCGCAGTCGGCGCAGGCGAAGGGCTTGGCGCCCGAGTGCGTGCGCTGGTGGCTGAGCAGGTTGGAGCGCTGGCTGAAGGCCTTTCCGCACTGGGCGCACGCGTGGGGCTTCTCGCCCGTGTGCACGCGCCGGTGCTCCGCCAGGTAGGAGCCCACGACAAAAGCCTGGCCGCACTCGGCGCACTCGAAGGGCCGCTCGTCCGTGTGCGTGCGCTGGTGCTGCAGGAGCTGAGAGCTCTCGCGGAAAACCTTTCCGCACTCGGCGCAGGGGAAGGGCTTCTCGCTGCTGTGCGTGCGCCGGTGCTGCCGCAGCCCCGCCACGCGCACAAAGGCCTTGCCGCAGTCGGGACAAGCGTGTGGCCGCGCGCCCGCGTGGATCTTCAGGTGCTCAGCCAGGTTGGAGCTCTGGCTGAAGGCCTTGCCGCAGTCCGGGCAGGCGTGTGGCCGCGCGCCCGTGTGCACGCGCTGGTGCTCCAGGAAATTGGAGTTCCAGCTGAAGGCCTTGCCGCAGTCCGGGCACTCGTAGGGCTTCTCGCCCGTGTGCGTGCGTCGGTGCTGCACCAGCGTGGTGCTTCGACCGAAGGACTTGCCGCAGTCCGGGCAGCGAAAGGGCTTCAGAACGCTGTGTGTCTCCTGGTGGTGGATGAGCTGCGAGTGCGCGCGGAAGGCCTTGCCGCACTCCCCGCAAGCGTAGGGCTTCTCGCCGCTGTGGACGCGTTGATGCTGGCTGAGGTTGGAGCTCCAGGCGAAGGCCTTGCCGCACTCGGGGCACGTGTACGGTTTCTCGCCTGTGTGCACGCGCCGGTGCTGCAGCAAGTAGGAGCTCTGGCTGAACGCCTTGCCGCACTCCCTGCACCGGCAGCCGGGCTCCTCTGGGAGAGGCGAAGGGCGCAACGTCCAGTCTACATACTCCTGGGGCCCATCCCCGTCCCGCCCACCATCTGCGGGGCCCAGCTTCCTGTCGGGGCCCCCCTGTTCGTCCGCCGCCCCCAGTGTGGCTTGCTGCCGCTCGCCGTCCCCTGCCTCCCCTGGGACCTCCGCGGAGTCTTCCCAGGACCCCCAGCCTCCAGACACAGCCCCCTCAGAGGGGCGCCTCGTGGCAGTCTTCACACTGCAGAGGCCCTGGCCTTCCTTTGGGGCCATCTGCAGGTTCCTCCCTCCTGGGGACTCCATCTCGCACCTGTGACCTAAAACAGGAGAGAAAAGGTAAGTGCCTTATAGAATACAAAGAACACAAAGACAGAGGGCCTTTGGGAGACATGACGGTGGGCTGTCATCCCCACTCTTCTCCTTCACGGCCCTGGATGCCCAGTGCCCTCTGGAGCCTGGAGCAGGAAGTTCAGCAGGCGGGCTAGACACTCTGGGCCTGCCTGACAGGGCCACGTGCACATCCCTACACCTGGCCCCGCCCAGCAGGAGGGGAGGGGGCGCCAGCATCGTGGAAGGACTCAAAGCTGCCTACTCACCTGCACTGGCTGTACTGTGGCACCACTCTCCTCCCCTTGCTTGATTCCTGCTGCAGCCGCTCCACCAGGGCGGTGGCCTCCTCAGGACTGCCTGGCCACTGCTCCTGCGCGTAGGCCTGGATCTCCGGGAGCAGTTTGCCCAATAACTGCTCCAGCACCAAGAGCTCCAGCATCTGCTCCTTGGAGCAGGCCTTGGGCATCAGCCACTGGCAACACAGCTCACGCAGCTGAGCCAGGGCCCCTCGGGGCCCTGCTGCCTCCTCGTAGGGGAACCCCCAGAAGCACTGGCCAGGGCTCTTCGAGCTGGGCTCACCCACCATCAGTTCCAGTGGACTCTGGAGGACCTAGGGGGCCAGGGCTGATGCCCCACTCGTCTGGGCAGCCATCCTGCCCCTTCCCCGGGAGGGGAAGGCAGCTGCATGGCCCAGGGTACTTTCTCTGGAGCTGGAAACAAAGGTGAGCCTGTGAGCACAGCAAGGCCACGAAGGTCCCCTCCTTGGGACCACCTGAGACTGAGTAAAAATGGAAGAATGGGGGTATCAGCGCTTCTGGCCCCCAGCGTCAGCATCTTTGCCCACCTGTGTGTCCAGGTGCCTGAGGGACACAATGAGGTGCCATGGCTGTTTGTACCATCCATTCCCCTCTCCCCGCTTTTCTTGAGGGTCCCTGCCCTGCCCTGTCTCCTTGGCTCCCTTCATCCCACACACAGAACACCTAAGGCAGAGATTGTGAACAGGACACCCGGAGTCAGACCAGCAGATGGGTCCTGTTTGTCCCCTCCAGGAAGTGTTTTAAAAATGTAAGTTAGGCCAAGCACGGTGGCTCACGGCTGTAGTCCCAGCACTCTGGGAGGCCGATGCAGGCAGATCACGAGGTCAGGAGTTCCCCAAGACCAGCGTGGCCAACATGGTGAAACCCCCTCTCTACCAAAAATACAAAAATTAGCCAGGCATGGTGGCAGGTGCCTGTAATCCCAGCTGCTCGGGAGGCTGAGGCAGAGAACTGCTTGAACCTGGGAGGTAGAGGTTGCAGTGAGCCGAGATCGTGCCACTACACTCCAGCCTGGGTGACAAAGCGAGACTCTGTCCCAATAAAATAAAAAGAGAATAAAGTACTGATACACACTACAAGGTGAATGAATCTTGAAAATATTATGCTAAGTATAAGTGAAAAAATTCAGACACAAAATACTTCATATTGTGATTCCATTTATATGAAATGTCCAGAACAGATAAGTCTATAGAGACAGAAAGTAGATTAGTGTTTGCCAGGATCTAAAAGGAAGACAGAAATGGGAGATACAGCTGTGGGAGTGATGAAAATATTCTGGAATTAGTGGTGATGACTGTGCAATACTGAATATACTAAAAACCACTGAAGCATACACTTTAAATGATGAATTTTATGGTATTTATGTTTTTTAAAAAGTTAACCAATCTCAAAAGCTTAAAAACTATGACTCCATTTATGCAATTCTTTCTTTCTTTTTTTTTTTTTTTTTTTTGAGACAGGGTCTGGCTTTGTCACCCAGGCTGGAGTGCGTTGGTATGATCTCATCTCCCAGGCTCAAGCCATCTTCCCACCTCAGCCTCCCAAGGAGCTGGGACATCAAGTGCGTGCCACCATACCTGGCTAATTTTTTATTTTTTTATTTTTGAGATGGAGTTTCACTCTTTCGCCCAGACTGGAGTGAAGTGGCACAATCTCGGCTCACTGCAGCCTCTGCCCCAGGATTCCATCGATATTCCTGCCTCAGCCTCCCCAGTAGCTGGGATTACAGGCACCTGTAATTTTATTGTATTTTTTAGTAGAGACAGGGTTTCACCATGTTGGCCGGGCTGGTCCCGAACGTTTTTTTTTTTTTTTTGAGAGGGAGTCTTGCTCTGTCGCCCAGGCTGGAGGGCAGTGGCACCATCTTGGCTCACTGCAAGCTCTGCCTCCTAGGTTCACACCATTCTCCTGCCTCAGCCTCCCAAGTAGCTGGGACTACATGTGCCTGCCACCACGCCCTGCTAATTTTTTGTATTTTTAGTAGAGATGGGTTTCACCATGTTAGCCAGGATGGTCTCGATCTCCTGACCTCGTGATTCGCCCTCCTCGGCCTCCCAAAGTGCTGGGATTACAAGTGTGAGCCACCACTCCCGGCCTGTCAGCGGGTCCGGAACTCTTGACCTCAGGCGATCCACCCACCTTGGCCTCCCAAAGTGCTAGTATTACAGGCGCCAGACACCTCGCCCAGCCTATGCAACATTTGTGAAATGACAAAATGGTAGACATGAGAACAGATTACTAGTTGACAAAAAGAGGTTAACAAGGGGCAGAGGTAGGAGGGAAGGGTATGCGGCTCTGAAAGGGCAACACGGGGATCCTGTGGTAATGGAAATGTTCTGCATCTCGGTTGTGATACTGTACTCTAGTTTTTCTTTCTCTTTTCTTTTTTTGAGACACAGTCTCGCTTTGTTGCCCAGGCTGGAGTGCAGTGGCGCGATCTGGGCTCACTGCGACCTCCGCCTCCTGGGTACAAGCGATTCTCCTGCCTGAGCCTCCTGAGTAGCTAGGATTACAGGCACCAGCCTCTACTCCCGTCTAATTTTTGTGTTTTCAGTAGAGATGGGGTTTCACCATGTTGCTCAGGCTGGTCTTTAACTCCTGAGCTCAAAGGATCCACCCGCCTTGACCTCCCAAAGTGCTGGGATTACAGGCATGAGCCACCGAACCTGACCTCTAGTTTTTCAAGATGCCACTTTTAGGGGAACTGTGTAAGGGTACATAGGGTATGCATTATGTGTTACTGCATGTGAATTTATAATTACCTCAAATCAAAGGTTAAATTTTAAAATAAAATGACACCCGATTTCAATAAAAATCCGTATTTGTGTATCGAAGACCCAGAAATCCGGGCTCCCAAGGGCCCATGTTTCTTAAGGTGGAGCCAGGCACCGCTGCCCCTTCATCCAGGGCCTGTGCTGTGGGACCCCGACTCGCCAGCCCCCAGCCCCATCTAATAGGGCTGCCGTCCTGAGTCCGTCCTCGTCGTGGGATACCATGTGAGCCCCGGAAGGTCCTTCCTGTCGGCCTCGCTGCTCCAGCCTCCCCGAGGCTGCCCGCGTGCCCTTTCTGAACCTGAACGCCGCCTCCTCACCACGACATGATCAGAGCCACCTCCCGCGTCAGTCCCAGCGCCCACGCCCCCAACAACGGGCATTCGTCTGCCCGGTCCCGGGTATTTGTGTCTCCCCACCAACCCCCAAGGTCTAGAGTGGACAAATACGGGGTGGATAAAGGGCAGGAGGCTGCGGCAGGGTGGCGCGAGGCCTGTGCGGGCAGCTCCGCAGGCTCGGAGGCGAGGCCTCGCCTGGTGAGCTCCGGAACTACGAGGGGTGGGTGGGGGTTGATGAACGAATAAATGAATGTGGGAAGAAATGATGGTGCGGCAGGACATGAAGGCGGAGCCACAAGGCTGGAGGAGTGATGAGTGAATGAGTCAAAGAATAAACGAGCAGGAGGAACGATGCCACAGAACTGAAGGCCACGACGTTCGCGTTCACCGAGCTGGCCGCAGACGGGAGCCGTTTCCGCCCCGACCACGGTCGCCTCTGGCCCGTGCAGAGCTACTTCCGGGCCGCTCTGGAGGGCGCGGAGGCCTATCTCTGTGATCCCAGAGGGCACTGCTCAGGGCCGAGCCCCGCCCTGCCCCGCGCGGCGGGAGTGGCTGGAGCTGGAGGACGGATCTGTGCTTGGCCGGAGGGTGTCCGTCGGCGTCACTCACCGTCCTCAGCCCGCCCCTGCGTCCACTACGCGCTGCCTGAGAGGGGCCCGCACGGAGGCACGGGGAATGGTAGGAGGGGGGTACCGGGTCTCCTGGGAGGCGCGGTTGCTTTCGGCGGAGCGGCCCAAAGCCTCGCGGTTCTCCCCACCGCGCCTGCGTAACTGTGGCGCGGCTGCGGGCGAGCGCCTTCTGGTTCCCGTGGGGCGGTGCCAAGGCCGAGCTACTCTGGCGTCCTGCGTTGCCATGGATGCGCTCCGCCCCTTCCTGTACCCGGCGCGCCTCTGCGGCACACATCCAACAGCTACACAGGCGCCAAGGGCTGCCCGGGTCGTGAACGCAGGTCGGGCCGATGTAGCTCCTCCCTGGCCGTCCTCCTCTGGCCCCAGGCCGTCTTTACCACCTTGGAAACTCGCTGAGTTCACGCCACTGAGCTGCTTCTCACACCCACGCACTGTGGAACACCCACTAAGCTGGCATCCCCTAGAGTCGGTATCTCGGAAGCTAAGCAGGGTCGGGCCTGGTTAGTACTTGGGAGACCGCCTGGGAACAGCGGGTGCTGTTGGCTAAAATAAATAAGCAGGGCGCGGTGGCCCACTCCTGTAATCCCAGCACTTTGGGAGGCAGAGGCGGGCAGATCACGAGGTCAGGAGTTTGAGACCAGCCTGACCAATATGGTGAAACCCCGTCTCTACTGAAAATACAAAAATTCGAGTTGTTGGCGTGCGCCTATAATCCCAGCTACTCTGGAGACTGAGGCAGGGGAATCGCTTGAACCAGGGAGGCAGAAATTGCAGTAAGCCGAGATCGTGCCACTGCACACTCCAGCCTGGGTGACATAGCAAGACTCCGTCTCAAAAAACAACATAGACCGGATGCTGTAAGCTAAAATAAATGAATAGCTAGAGATGGGGTCTCACTACATGGCCCAGGTTGGTCTTGAACTTCTGGGCTCAAGTGATCCTCCCACCTTGGCCTCCCAAAGTGCTAGGATTACAGACGTGTGTGAGCCACTGCACCCGGCCTCCATGAGTTTTTTTTGTACCAGTTTTTCCCAGTTTGTACTAGGGAGCTCTCACCCCAGCCCAGGTGGTTTGGGCAGGTGTGGGTACATGGCCCAGGTCTGCAGCACGGGGCAGTCCATCCCCCTGGCCCTGGCAATGGTCACTTTGGACCTGTTAGCATCATGGGACTTCTCTCTGAACTGTTAGGGCCTCTATCTGCTTTGAACCTGAGGCTGTGAGCACCTGTCAGCTGGGGCAGCTGCTGCCTTCTTGCCCTCATGAGGGATGAATCTGTTAGAGAATGAAGTCCATACAGAATGAGGGATGGTGTGTTAGTTTCCTGTGGTTATGCAGCAAATTACCACAAATTTGGTGGCTTAAAACAGCAGAAATATATTCTTTCACAGTTCTGGGGACCAGAAGTCTGACATCGATATAACTGACCTGAAACAAGATGTTGACAGGGCCGAGCTCCCTCTGGAAGCTCTAACGTAGAACCTTTGCTTGTCTTTTTCAGCACCTAGAGCTGCATTCCATGTATTCCTTGGCTTTTGGTCCTTTCCTCCATCATTGAATAACAGGTAACGTCTTACTCTTTCTCTCATTAATTAAAATATTTAACATATGTTCGTTTTATCTCATTTGCCTGAGAGTCAATTTTAGCTTTAAAAAAATTTTTATTGGCCGGGCGGGGTGGCTCAGGCCTGTAATCCCAGCAATTTGGGAGGCAGAGGTGGGCGGATCATGAGGTCAGGAGTTTGAGACCAGCCTGACCAACATGGTGAAACCCCGTCTCTACTAAAAATACAAAAATTAGCCCTGTGTGGTGGTACATACCTGTAATCCCAGATACTTGGGAGGCTGAGGCAGGAGAATTGCTTGAACCTGGGAGGCAGAGATTGCAGTGAGCCGAGATCGCACCACCGCACTTCAGCCTGGGTGACAGAGCTAGACTCCGTCTCAAGAAAATTAAAAAAAAAAAAAGCGGGGCTGGGCGCAGTGGCTCACGCCTGTATTCCCAACACTTTGGGAGGCTGAGGCAGGCAGATCATGAGGTCAAGAGATCGAGACCATCCTGGCCAACATGTTGAAACCCTGTCTCTACTAAAAATACAAAAATTAGCCAGGCGTGGTGGCATGTGCCTGTAGTCTTGGGTCACCCATGCTGGAAGAATTCAGCTGCCTGGCCATGAGGAAACTCAGGTCTGCGGTCCTGTGGAGAGGCAGTGGAGCAGTACATCCTCCAAACCCAGTGGGGCCTTCAGATGATTGCAGTCTTGGCTGCCATGTTGACTTCAACCTTGTGAGAGGCCTTGAGCCAGAACCACAGGCCAAGCTGGTCACGAATTCCCCACCCACAGAAAATGTGTGCAATGATAAATGTTTGTTTATTTTTGAGACAAAGTCTTGGTCTCTCACCTAGGCTGGAGTGCAGTGGTGCGATCTCAGCTCATTGCAACCTCTGCCTCCCAGGTGTGAGGGATTCTTGTGCTTCACCCTCCCAAGTAGCAGGGATTACAGGTGCATGCCACCATGCCCGGCTAATTTTTGTATTTTTAGTAGAAATGGGGTTTTGCCATGTTGCCCAGGCTGGTCTCAAACTCCTGAGCTCAAGCCATCCGCCCAGCTCAGCCTCCCAAGGCACTGGGATTACAGGCCTGAGCCACAACGCTTGGGCTGGAGCATGCCCTTGATATGCGGACTAACCAATCCAGAGCCTCACCGCTGGCTTTGTCTGGTCCACACACCACAGGAGACAATATTCCTCTGTCTTAATCATCCCAGGAACAGGAGCCAAGCAGCTGGGGGACACTCCCACAGCTGAAGGCCCACAGGAATCACTCCAGCTAGCCAGTCCTGTGCTGTAGAGCTCTGCTCTGCCTTGTTTTTCCCTTGGAAACCCCAGTAAAGGCTCTGGCTTAGAGCTCCCCCTTGCTTCTGCCCCTGCTGCCTCCCACAGATGCTGGTACTTTCTCATGTGTCCTTCCTCATGGGCCGCGCCTCCTGTTTCCAGGATCTGTAAGCATGATGGACTTTGTTTTCCTGAGCTTGTCCTGTGTCTCTTCTTCTGGCCACACCTGACTGAGCAGCACATAAAAGCCGCAGAACACCAGGAGAGCTGCTGCTTGGGGAAATTCTGCGGCAAGTGTCCTGGGGGACTAGGGGCAGGGCAAGCACTGCTCTCCCTCTCCTGGAGGCTGGGGAGAGCATCAAGGAGATTACCAGGTAGGAGGACCATGGGCAGGGCCTGCCTCATCAGGATGCTTTTCCCAGAACAGAGGGTAAAAATGTAAGCCCCTGGTGGGTGAGTCCTGGATTAACCAAGACCTGGGCCTTTTGGAGGCTGCGGAAGACAGAGAACACTGTGAGGTGAGTTTCTCCTGGGTGGATTCCCCAGGGGCCTCTGAGGCTGGTTTCAGGCCCTGCCCTTTGGCTGCCCCACTGGAAGCTCTGAGCATCCACCCTTCAGAGGCGCTTTCCCTGGTCTGACCTTGGCAAGGGCAAATAAGAAGGTACTCCATGGGGGGTCACCAATGTCTGGGGCGTAAACAGTGCCCATCTGCACAGTAGCATGAGGGCCACAGAGTGTGGTAAATGTCAAGTGACCAGCCCAGGCGGTCCCCAGTGTGGCTGCAGGGGCCACCTAGGATTCTTCTGTTTGGGGGTCCCAGGCCACACTTGGGGAACCCTATTGGAAGCAACAAGGCCTAGGCCCTGAGGGCCCAGGGCTCTAGCTGAGCCACGTTCAAGCATCCTCCCAGCCCTCCCAGCTGGTGTGAGGAGGAAACCGCATGCCAAAGGGCAAGGTGCTCTGCACAGATCTGTCCCTAGTCGGCCTGCTCCAGTCCGCCTGTGGAGTGGGAGCCTTGGGTCTGTCTGGAACCAGCGTGGATGAAATGCAGGGAGAAATTGGAATCATAGCCATGGACAGCCACTTACATAGCTGGGAAAAAGCATGCTGTGCTAGATCCCGGTGGACTCACCTCTGCGGTGCTGGGGACTTTGTACTGACACCTCAGGCACCCACTTCCACTCACATCGCGGAGGCTTGGGGAGATTCAGTTCGGTCTGGAGTCCGGCAGGGGACGACAATACGGCGACCCCGACCGTCAGTCAGACCAGGGCAAGCTTGCCAGGGCATCGCACTTCACCAAAGGGAACCCTTTCTGCCGCGACTACGGAGCCGCCAGGGCCGGGATGGGCACAAGCCTGCTCTGAGGTCTCACCTCTGGAGGGTTACGAGCTGTGCCAGGCCGGCTACGGTAGAGCATGTGCAAACACCCCGAGGTCGGTAGAGCGAGTGCAAACACCCCGAGGTCCCAAGGCTCCTGAAGCCGCCTAAGGGGCATGAGAGGCCCTAGGTTCGAATCCTGCCTTCACCGTCTTATGGTTGTGCCTCTGGAGAGTCACTTTTCCCCGTTTCCTCGCATACCAGAGAGCCAAGTAACAGGCACCGCAGCTCTGTGTGGACAGAGATCGTGGACACAGTGTCTGGGTCAGATCTGCGGCCACTCGAGATTATTACTGCTTATGCTGCAACCGGATGCTGTGTGCCCTGTTAGAAAAGGTCAAATAAAACTCGAGTTAGTGGAAGCCTGTGGACGCCATGTGTACAAAGTGAAGTTTAATCAAGGTTACAAACGGTGGGTTTTCCGGGACAAAGGCCCCTCCTCAACGCAGGGTTCGCTTGGGCGACGCGTCGGCTCCCAGTGGTTAAGGCGCGGAGCGGCCCGCGTGGCGCTTCTGGTGCTCGTTGAGGTTGGAGCGTTGGCTGAAGGCGCGGCCACACTCCCCGCACGCGTAGGGCCGCTCGCCCGTGTGCGTGCGCAGGTGGCGCACCAGGCTGCAGTTGCGCACGAAGGCTTTGCCGCAGTCGCGGCAGATATAGGGCTTCTCGCCCGAGTGCAGGCGCTCGTGCTGGCGCAGCTCGGAGCAGCCGCGGAAGGTCTTGCCGCACTGGGGGCAGCCGTAGGGCCGCTCGCCGGTGTGCGCGCGTTGGTGTTGCACCAGGCCCGAGCGGCCCTTGAAGGCCTTTTCGCACAGTGGGCACGCGTAGGGCTTGGCGCTGCTGTGCGTGCGCTGGTGCCGGCTCAGGTTCGAACGCTGGTTGAAGGCCTTGCCGCACTCGGGGCAAGCGTAGGGCTTCTCGCCAGTGTGCACACGCCGGTGCTCCACGAGGTGCGAGAACAGCCCGAAGGCCTTGGCGCAGTCGGCGCACTCATACGGCTTCTCCCCGGCTCCCGACCCCCGTCGGGGACTCAGCTCGCCGCAGTCCCCGCAGGGCGGGCACCCCAGCCGGAAGGCGCGCCGGGCCAGGACTGGGCCACGGCGGTGGCGCTCGGCCGAGTGAGTCTTCTGGTGGCGGTACAGGCCGGAGCAGCGCACGAAGGCCTTGCCGCACTCGGCACACTCATAGGGCCGTTCGCCCGTGTGGATGCGCTGGTGCTGCAGTAGGCTGGAGGTGCGCGTGAAGGCCTTGCCGCACTCGTCGCAAGCGTACAGCCGCTGGGCCGGGGGGTTGGGGACACCCAGGCGAGGTCGCGAGGTTTGGCTGCACTCAGGACACACTGGGGGGCCCTTGCCCGTCTGCTGCTGCTGGTTGGGGCGGAAGCACTTCCCGCACTGGGCACACGGACGGGGCTCCTCCATCGCCTGCAGCCGCTCCTGGGGGATCCGCAGGGCCCTCCACGCAAAGGCCTCGCCGCACGCACAAGCCTGGGGCTGCTCCACCGAGGGGCTCCTCCCGCGGGAGGTCGGCTTTGGGGTCTTCGGGCAGGTCGGCGCGCCCGTCCCCAGTTGGCACGGCCAGCAGTCCGTGTGGACCTCACACAGTTGAGTCCGGGGGCGGTTCCGGAGCCGCTCCGGACAGGGGTCACACACGGGTGGCGTCTCCCCAGCGGGCACCCCGCGAGGCCGCGCCAGGCAGGAGTTCCTGCTACAGTCCCTGCCACGCGCCGGGCACCCACAGGGGTCCTCCCCGGCCTGCAGTCCCTCGCGGGTAACTAGCTCAGGGTCCTGAGAAGAGGTGGGGCTGCACGGCTCCCACACGAGGGGTCTGGTCTCCGCACTGTGCCGGGTCCCCGAGCCGGGGCTCACCCCGAGGTTGCAGTCCTGGGAGCCCCTGCCTGGGGGAGTCATCCTACCGTCCGCCATCCCTCCACGCAGGTCCCCCTTTTGAGTGGGGCGGCTCCCAGCTCGGTCCTGTTCGAGGGGCCTCGGCTCCTCGGGCCTTTTCTCCCAGGCCCCAGAGGCACCCCGGGCATTGGCCGTGGAGATTGCTCCCTGCCCAGCCTTCTGGGCCAGAGCCTCCATCCTGGGGCACAGAGTTCTGGTTGTAGGATCTGGAAGAGCAGAGAAGAAATGGAGGTTTGCGGTTCCCAGGAGAACAGAAGTGGAGAACTGGGCCAAAGAGCGACCATCCCACAGCTGGCACCTACTGGGCGGCCCCCAGCTCTCTGCAGATGCGAAAGGGGAAATGGAGTGATATAGGTAGGGCCTCCTGCCCCTCTTCAAACTGTCACCACCCAGACCCCAGAGAACAGCTTCCCAGGCTCTCCCTGCCCGCATCTCTGCTCCTCCCCAACACTAGCTCCTAAAACACTGTCCCCCTGGCTAAGGCCCTCCCTGGTCCCCCTTCCCCAAGCAACAGGGACTCCCCTGTCGCTCAGCTGCCAGCTCCCCAAAATCTCACTTACTCCTGGCCTCAGCTTCTCAGTGGCAAGCCCACACTCCGGGTCCTCCTGGCTCCATTCACTGCCATTGTCCATGTCTTCTGGGAGGTGTGAGGTGGACTCACCTGACAGCTGAGAGCCTGGCCAGGAGATCCACGCTGCAGAGGCCAATGCTGAGCTGCCCCTCCCCTCTTCAACCAGGTAATGGTGGTTCTCTCAAGCCTGGCAGCCTCATCTACAAAATGGGTATGATAACGGTAAGTATAAACAGCTGAGTAGGGAGACAGGCAACCCAGATCATTCCAGCAAGTGTGGACATTAGCAAGGCCTAGTGCCTGCTATTACTATTTTAAAATTCTGCTGTGGCTACATTAGTTACCTACTGCTGCTTTAACAAACTGCCACCCCCATAGTGGCTTGAGACAGTGCAAACGTGTTATCTCACAGTTCTGGAGGTCAGAAGTCCTAAGGGAAGGTTTCAGTAGTGTGGGTTCCTTCCTGAGGCTCTTGGGGAGGACGTTTGAGGGCAATTTCCAGCTTCTAGATGCCACCTACTTTTCTTTCTTCCATCTTCAAGCCAGCAGTAAGACATCTTCGTCTCTCTGGGTTTGTCGTCAAATCTCCTTATACTCCTTATAGGACTCTGACCCTTCTGCCTCTTGTGATCATACTGGGCCAACCACATATAATCCAGGAATCCCCCCCATCTCAGGATCCAAAACCTCACCACACTCAGTTCTTTTGCCTTGGGAAGTAACATATTCACAGGTTCTAGGGACCAGGACGTGCACATCTTTCAGGGGGCCCTTATCCTGCCTACAACGGGACTTTGCCGAGATACACACACGTGCATATATACATATTCATCTCCTAAGCAAGCAACTGAAGAGCAAGTGAAAACAAAGGACGGCCGGGCGCAGTGGCTCACGCCTGCAATCCCAGCACCTTGGGAGGCCGAGGCAGGTGGATCTCCTGAGGTCGGGAGTTTGAGACCAGCCTGATCAACATGGAGAAACCCGGTCTCTACTAAAAATACAAAATTAGCCAGGCGTGGTGGTGCACGCCTGTAATCCCAGCTACTCAGGAGGCTGAGGCAAGAGAATCACTTGAACCCGGAAGGTGGAGGTTGCAGTGAGCCAAGATTGCACCACTGCACTCCAGCCAAAGCGAAACTCCGTCAAAAAAGAAAAGAAAACGAGAGAAAGAGAGAAAGAAAGGAAGGAAGGAAGGAAAGGAGGGAGGGAGGGAGGGGCCTGGAACGGTGGCTCACGCTTGTAATCCTAGCACTTTGGGAGGCCAAGGCAGGCGGATCACGAGGTCAGGAGATCGAGACCATCCTGGCTAACACGGTGAAACCCCGTCTCAAAAAATTAGCCGGGCATGGTGGCAGGCACCTGTAGTCCCAGCTACTTGGGAGGCTGAGGCAGGAGAATGGCGTGAACCTGGGAGGCAGGGCTTGCAGTGAACCATGATCACGCCACTGCACTCCAGCCTGGGCGACAGAGCGAGACTCCGTCTCAGAAAAAAAAAAAAAAGGGAATTTTCCTCACTGTGTTGTGATGTGAAGTTTCTCAGCCTCACACGAGTGATAACCGCACATCCTCCTGTCCCCTCCCTAGATCTTATTGTTTCCAGAACAAAGATGGATCTGTCCAGTGCAGCCTTCGGACTATGAATCCCGGATGGCTAACGTCACATGCAGAGCACAAGATGGACACACTTGTGGCACCTTCTAAATCACCGCTTCATTGAGCACAGGAGCTCAGATTCTTCTCCTTTGTCCTGTATTCCTTTTTCTGTGGAAAGCAGATATCCCCTTATTTTATTTCTTTATTTTTATTTATTTATTTATTTTGGGACGGAGTCTCCGTCACCCAGGCTGCAGTGCAGTGGCATGATCTCAGCTCACTGCAACCTCCGCCTGCCGGGTTCAAGCAATTCTCCTACCTCAGCCTCCTGAGTAGCTGGGATTACAGGTGCCCACCACCACGCCAGGCTAATCTTTGTATTTTTAGTAGATACAGGGTTACACCATGTTGGCCAGGCTGGTCTTGAACTCCTGACCTTGTTATCTGACCACCTCAGCCTCCCAAAGTGCTGGGATTACAGGCATGAGCCACCGTGCCTGGCCAGATATCCCTTGATTTATTTATTTGTTTGTTTACTTATTTATTTTTATTTATTTAGAGACAGGGTTTCATGTTGCCCAGGCTGGAGTGAAGTGGCACGATCTTGGCTCACTGCAATCTTCGCCTCCTTGGTTCAAGCAATTCTCCTGCCTAAGCCTCCCGAGTAGCTGGGATTATAGGCATCCGCCACCAAGCCCGGCTCATTTTTGCACTTTTTTTTTTTTTTTTTTTTAGTAGAGCTGGCGTTTTACCATGTTGACCGGGCTGGTCTCAAACTCTGACTTCAGGTGATCCACCCATCTTGGCCTCCCCAAATGCTGGGATTACAGGCGTGAGCCACCACACCTAGTCGATATCCATTTATTAAATGTCTCAGAGGGCCGGGTGTGGAGGCTGAGGCAGAAAAATCGCTTGAACTCGGGAGGCGGAGGTTGCAGTGAGCCAAGATGACGCCACTGCACTCCAGCCTGGGCGGCTGAGTGAGAGTCCATCTCAAACAAACAAATAAATAAATAAATAAATTTATCTCCGAAATCTAAGTATTTAGTGAGATGTCCTTGACCTGATGTCACTTTTTCTGTATGTTTTGCAAATTTCTAACAGGCAGTTGCCTTGGGCCACCTGGTGGCCTGAAATAACATGACCAGGAACTAAAAGGACTCACGAAGCATTTAACCAAGACTCTACATGTTGACTTTTCAGCCAAGGACACTTCAGGGCGACTGGCCGCAGTTCTCCAAAGGAAGCTGCTGCCAGTTGTCCCTGGGGGGTTATTTCGTTCTTGGACATCATGACCACAATGACAGAAATGCATTGATGACCAGCACTCTGGGGATGAATGTTTTTGAGTGGAAATTAAACATACCGAACTGCTTAAAGACAAAAATGCAGAGTTGGACAAGTTCTGCAGGTCATGAAGGGCTTTCGCAGCAGCCAGGCCCGGTTCCTGCTCTGCTCTATGGGAGGCTGCTGGCCTGAGCTGGAGAGCAGAAAGGCCCAGAGCAAGGGTTCAGCAGGTACTGGTTCCAGGCCAGGCATTTGCTAATAAACCAGGGTGACAGTAAGGACAAAGGGACTCTGGTGTGATGTGAGGTTTCTCAGCCTCACTTGTCACACGTGATCACTGCACAACCCTCCTATCCCTTCCAGGCCTGTATGAGACAGGAAAGGTGAGGCTGCCCCTCCCTCTCTGCACCTTAAAGCCACTCAGGGTCTGGGTTTTCCTGAGACTTCTGGAGCCAGATGCAGACTCACAAAGGTGCTGATCCTTCCTCGATCTTCCTCCTTTAAGAGTGGCACTAGTCAGGTCTAATTTAGAGAAAATCTATCACCTTCCCCCCACTGTGGGCTCTGCCACTTGGTGCCTTTGTTTCTCCACCTATCAAATTAGCCAGCTGGAGCTTGCGACTCCAAGAGGCATGCTTGGAAGTAAGGAACTTCTCTGAGTAGGAGTACGTCTGGATGGTGCTGAACACCAGCATGCTTTGCCCTGTGGCCTGGACTGTGCACAGGGTGACCTGTCACCTCCCACACAGGTGGAAGGGTGTGAGAGAGAATGGACACTCAGTTACAAACATCCTCTTCCCAAACACTTGTGGATCTGAGTCTGAGGCTCCTCCTTCCAGGTGAGGGGTTGGCTGGCTGCTGTTGTAGCTTGTTATTCTCTTTCTGTCCCTTCTGCCCTCAGGTCTTGACCATGCAGCTTCCCAAGAACAGGATGGGGAATGATATCGGCATATGGGGAGGCAAGCAGCCATGGGTCCTACCTGCTCATGGGCACTAACCGTCCCAACAGCAGGTGGACGTGAATCTAACCCACAACAGACACCAGAGTAGAGGGAGCTGGGTTCCCTGAGTCCGGATGGGGTTCTCACAGGCCCCCACAGCGAGACAAGGGAAGCCTCTCCAGAATGTGGAGTATGGACTCACTGTGTGAATAAAGTAAATGAGCTGGGGCGTGGGGGGGAGGTCCCGATTTCAAAAAGCACCACTCATACACCAGGACTGGCAAAGCTGCTGGCAGTAAGCTCTGTCTTGGGGCTCCCCAACTGCAGGTGAGCTGACTGGCCTCAGCTGGCACTAACCACGCTCAGTGTTTGCCCTGAAGACCAGAAGACCTGGCAAAAAAGAGGAAAGCAGAGAACACGCTCCGACCTGGCTGGTGGGGATCCAGACAGTGCCGCTGCCGTGGAAACCTCCAGTTCCACAGAAAGGTAAAGATGGAGCTGCTACCGCACCCCCAGCAATTCCACCCCGAGGTATCCGCCCAAGAAAAAGGAACACAGGCATTCAACAAACACTGGCTGACAGATGTCCACAACAGCACTGTTCACAGTAGCCAAAATGGGGAAACAAGCCAAGTATATGAAATGACAAACGCACAAATAAAATGTGGTATATCCATAGAATGGGATATTATTCAGCCATAAAAAGGGATGCGTACTAACACATACTGCAACATGGACTTTAGAAAACATGGGAAGTAGACGGCCGGGCGCGGTGGCTCACGCCTGTAATCCCAGCACTTTGGGAGGCCGAGACGGGCGGATCACGAGGTCAGGAGATCGAGACCATCCTGGCTAACACGGTGAAACCCCGTCTCTACTAAGAAATACAAAAAACTAGCCGGGCGAGGTGGCGGGCGCCTGTAGTCCCAGCTACTCGGGAGGCTGAGGCCGGAGAATGGCGTGAACCCGGGAGGCGGAGCTTGCAGTGAGCTGAGATCCGGCCACTGCACTCCAGCCTGGGCTACAGAGCAAGACTCCGTCTCAAAAAAAAAAAAAAAAAAAAAAAAAGAAAACATGGGAAGTAGAAGTGAGTCCCAAAAGACCACATATTACATAATTCCGTTTATATGACATATCCAGAATAGGTAAATCCATAGAGACTGAAAGGAGATTAGTTGTCGCCAGGGGCTGAGGGGAAAAAGAATGGGGAGTAATTGCTTTATGGATATCGAGTTTTGTTTTAGTGTAACTAAAATGTTCTGGAAATTATCGTGGTGATGGTTGCACAACATAGTGAACATATTAAAACCTAAACAATCTACTAAAACCTGGCCAGGCGGTGGCTCACACTTGTAATCCCCGCACTTTGGGAGGCCAAG